TGAGAGGGTCTGGAGAACAATGCACTTCCTTTCACGGGCTTTCATATTTGGGTAAACCAAGTCACGTCAAGCAAGCACCTGGGTGGCAGGACCCTAGTATGCTGGGATCTCAGGTCAGCATCAGACACAACTGCCTTCTGTGCTAACAGACCCTGCTGCAGTTAGACTGGCAACACACCCACCGAGGGAGGAACATGGCTGGAGTCGGTCAGTCCCCGCCCTCCCTTTCCTCTTTACTGGTGGGAGCGAGTGTGACCCAGTTCTAGCCGGTGAGTCACACAGGAAGCCTGTGAGGGCTTCCAGGGAAAAGTTCTCCTCCCTGATCAGAGGGTTGCTGCTGTTCAGTCACCCAGTCGGGTCCGAGTCTTTGCGACACTGTGGACCACAGCACGCCAGGTCTCCCTGTCCATCACCATCTCCTGGAGCTCGCTCAAACTCATGTCCATTGAGTCAGTGATGCAATCCAATGATCTCATCCTCTGTTCTCCTCCTGCCCTCAATCTTTCCCAGCATCAGGGTCTTTTTCAATGAGTCAGCTCTTCACATCAGGTGGCCAAAGCATTGGAGCGTCAGCTTCAGCATCAGTCCTTCCAATGAATATTCAGGGTTCATTTCCTTTAGGATGGACTGGTTGGAACTCCTTGCAGTCCCAGGGACTCTCAAGAGTCTTCTCCAACACCACAGTTCAAAAGTATCAATGCTTTGGCGCTCAGCTTTCTTTATAGTTCAACTCTCACACCCATACATGACTACTGTAAAAACCATAGCTTTGACTATATGGACCTTTGTTGGGAAAGTGACTTCTCTGCTTTTTAATAAACTGTCTAGGTTTGTCATCAAAGGGAGATTGCCCTGATTAACCAAACAGGACAATCATGGGGAGTGGAGGGCCCCTTTGCCTATGCACATCCTTGCCCAACCTCATCCCCAGGGTTGAGTCTCAACCTGTGAGGGTAGGATGTTTGGAGTTACAGCAGCCATCTTGAGACCATGAGGAAAGGCATTGTTGAAATGCAGAAGATTGGGGGTGGGGCAGTTGGGGTGGAGAAGTGAAAAAAGAACCCAGTCTTTGATGACTTTGTTGAGCTGTCATATTAACAAGCTCTGGTGGGTAGAAGGCTACTTCCAGGCTTCTTGTAAAGATGATAAATACCCATGTAATTTAAGACAGTGTAAGTTGGTTCTTTTATTTTATTCATCCAAGAGCATCTTCAATGACTCATAGACTTTGAATTTTCATGAGCAGTGAATAAAAGATCAATCGAAGGCTATGCAATCCTCGTGCTTGAATAAACACAACCTCTTTAAAACTCGCAGGAAATCTTAGCTGTTCCTGTCATTTCTCAGCAGGTTAAGCAGACATGCCACAGCAAGGGCCCTGCTGTGTCTGCAGGCTGACAGGGCTCCTGGCACAGAATGAGCCTGTGGGTGGGCGGATGCCTGGGGGTCTTGGAACCAGGCCTGCATGCCCACAGACTCCTGCCACTGCCCCCACTGATGGCAACCCGCCCCAGGCAGCTGCTGGGGCTTAAGGGTGAGGCCCAGATGCTGGCCCGGCGCTGCCCACCCCGGGTGTTAAGGACCAGGTCAGACCCATTCCCAGGTCTCCTCGGGAGGTTGGAGCCCAGAGAAGGACCCTGGGGGTGGGTCATCTGGGGCAGCCCTCCCGCCCCCCACCCCCCGCCACCGACCAAACCCCTGGGCCACAGCAGGTGATGGGCTGGGTGCTGGACATCTAATGCCTTTTATCCAGTTCCTAGGGTCAGTGCCCTCAGACAATCCTTTTAAATACAGCGAGCACTTCCCCTGGGTCTTTTAAAATCAGCTTTTAAAAAAGAGCAATCTAATGGATTTGGCTTTTCACGAACACAGCACGTGCTTCTGCAGGAGAGCAGAGGAGATTGAGCCAGGCAGATGCTGTGGTGGCCGGGGCAGCACTGAAGAGCAGAAGAAACGGGCCAGGCAGGGCCCCAGCCAGGGTGTCGGGTCACGGCCTCCCCGGGAAAGGTCCCCGGGCACCGGGGCAGCGCCGTGGGCCTAGGGTTGAGTGAAGGGCACAGGGTCATGGCTGAGGGCAGGGCTGCGGTCCCCAAGTTTTCTTTTCACACGACCGGACTCAACACCAGAGCCCCCACAGAGTCTGTGACTTGATGCGCCTACAGGTGGGGCTCCTGGGGGGTGGGGGCTCTCTCCGCTGCCCTCCTTCCCCACCCCCTTCATCCCCCTGTCCAGGAGGCCCCTCCATGGAACCCGAGAGGGAAGACCTCCATTCAGGGGTCTTAGCAAGAGACAAGGATGGAGGATCCAGGGCCAGGGCAGTGCCCGCGTGCCCCTGGGGAGACTGAGTGGCTGGCATGTCCCCTCCATGTGGACCCCCAACAGGGAGATCTGAGCTCCCGAGACACCCAGTTCACAGCCGTGAGAGGCACCATCCAGGCGTTCAGCCATGTGCCATCATAAGGTCTGGCAGGAGCCTGGGCCCAGGGGGGTGGGGGCAAGGCCAGGCCCAACACGCGCTCCAGCCAGAAGGCCTGGCCAGCCTCAGGGCACAGGGTGGCACCCTGTCCACTCAGCTCCAGCCAGCCAGCCGGGCTCCTGTCTGTCCCAGGCCCACTCTTCGTGGGCCCGTCAATCCACCCCCAAGTCGTGCCCCCACCCACTCACCCTCACACTGCACCCGCCCTCCGCTCCTTGTCCGCCCCGCCTTCCCGCCCCACCCCATCCACCTCCCGCCTGCACACACAGCCCCTTCCCGGGTGCACCGGCTGAGCTCAGAGGCACCTGCTACCTGGGGCCAGGTAAGCTCAAGGCGCTACCTTCATCCCAGGCGATGGGAGAGGCCGAGGCCCGTCTGCCTGGAGAGCCCACTCTGGTCCCCACCAGGTGAACGGGCCGGAGGCAGGGGCCCGCTGGCGACCCTGGCACTGACCCGGGGTTGGGTGGGGTGAGGGGGTGGAACGCAATTGGCCATTGGGGTTTTCTCTCCTTCCAAGGCTCACGAGAGGGCTGCTCTTTCTGTTTCTCCCATTCATCTGCATTTATCCTCCCCTCCCTCTCTCCCCCTGCTCTCTCCTGCTCTCGTTTGAAGATCTTCGGGTCTGGGGTCTCCAGCAGTTGACTGGATTTGCCCCCTTGGGCAAGAAGGGTTCCCCTGTTGCCTCAGTTTCCCCTCCTGGGAAAGGACAGGCGTGGACCAGGAGATCCATAATTCTGAAACTCTGGGGCGGCCGGGTGAGGTGGCAGCTCTGAACACAGGGTCCATCTTTGCTCACCGATGACCATGGCCTCCCTGACCCCCGGCCCTCACCTTCTGCCCCCTCTTCACCGGGACACAAACCCTGCTGGGGGCCGCACCCCGTCCCTCTGCGCTGGGGTGGGGGCAGAGCTGAGACTCATGGGAAGGGCACCCCCACCCCAACTCACGCCAGTGGCTCCCCCAGGGGACAGCTGTGAGTCACAGCCACCCTTGAATCCTCATTTTCAGTGGAGATAACGCCACAGCCACCCCGTCCCCCAAGACTGGGGGGCTTTAGATGGAAACACATGAGAGCACTGAGCTCACAGGAAGTGCTCAGCAGAGGTGAGGGCCAGGGGAGACGGAGCCAGCTTCCGGCGCCTCGCAGAACCAGCGGGCTCCTTGGGGGCCCTGCTGCATCCCCAGGGGCCCCCTTCCCAGCTCTTGGCTTCGACCACTAACCACGAGCTTTCTCCACTGAGCTGGTAGATTTATCTTCTGACCAGACCGCAGCCTCCAAGCTAGGTCTCATGCCTTCCTACTCAGCACTTTCAAAGGCCGGACCTGGCGCACAGTAGGACCTCCTCGGACCATGGTGGGCTGAAGGGACTCAGGCAGTTAACGGGCCCCGTGGTGCTGACAAAAGCCATGGTGCTCCGCAATCTTACATGTGGCGTATTTGCTTCCCTACTTGGACCAGGAAGCCCAGGCCCTCACTGCCCGGGGCCCCGAGGTCCATCTGTGAACGTCCCTGCATCTCTGGACGGCGTTCAAACCCACCGGACAGCAGGCTGTGACACCGTGTGCTGCCCAGAGGTAAGGTGGGAGTTGCAGGGTCATTGAGAGAATTCTTTAAAACTACAGGGCTTCCCAGGGGGCACTAGTGATAAAGAACATGCCCGCCAGTTCAGAAGACATGAAAGATGGAAGTCCGATTCCTGGATTGGGCAGATCCCCTAGAGAAGGTCATGGCAACCCAGTCCATCATTCTCGCCTGGAGAATCCCACAGACAGAGAAGCCTGGTGGGCTACTGTCCATAGGGTTGCAAAGAGTCAGACACAACCGAGCAACTTAGCACGCACGTGTAAATTCTTTGAGTCTGGACACTGTGCCAGATTGCTTTGATTTGTCCATCCCTTCCCCCAAATGCTACTTTTCATGTGTTTTCAGGAAAGTGAAAATGACTTAGTCGTGTCCAACTCTTTGCGACCCCATGGACTATATAGTCCATGGAATTCTCCAGGCCAGAATAAACTGGAGTGGGTAGGCTTTCCCTTCTCCAGGGGCTCTTCCCAACCCAGGGATGGAACCCAGGTCTCCCGCATGGCAGGCAGATTCTTTACCAGCTGAGCCACAAGGGAAGCCCAGGAATATTGGAGTGGGCAGCCTATCCCTTCTCCAGCAAAGAAGCCACCAGCAATGGCCATTTACTACGTGGCTCTGGGACCCAGGTGGCCACTTTGCTCTGGCCAGTGGATCCGAATCCTCGGACACGGCTGCAGCCATCGAGGATGCTGCCTAGGACCCAGACCTCATCCTCTCACCCGCTGCCCCCTTGGGCAGGAACTCCCATCAGGGAGGCAGGCAGGCCACGCTGAAAAGACCATGTCGTTATATGAAGGTTGGGGATGCATTTCTCCAACAGCCCAGATCTAAGGAATTCCCGGGGACACTGTGGGGCCCAGCAAGGCAGTTGGGAGGCGGGCCCAGCCCCACGGCAGGGCTGTGCTGGGCCCCGTGGTGGAGACGGGCCGGGATGCTCACCTTTGCAGATGAAGCACTGGATGTGGAAGTACTTGTTCTGCACCCGCAGCACCTCGCCCCTGCACACATTCCCGCAGGTGTTACACAGGATCGCCGTGCCGGGCGGCTTCTCCGGGGCGCTGGGAGCAGCCTGCGGCTCTGACACTGCAGGGGACAGGAGCAGCATTAAAAAGCGGGATGGGCCAGGCACAGGTGAGCAACCCAGCAACTCTTCAAGCGCTCGGGGCCCCAAATAACCCCCCAGCACGACCCAGAGGGCATCGGGGGACCAGCAGAGGTTAGGCGATGGGACACCCTGACAGCAGTCCAGTCCCCCACCTCCCAAAGGGGAGCCGATGCCCCCTGGCCCTCCGGGGCCTCAGAAGCAAGGCATCCCCCAACACACACACTCTTCTGAGCTTGAGAGTCCTTCTGCAGACGGGGACCCAGGTCCTCTCCTGTGGACCATCGCATCGTCCTGTGAGCTCGCTTCGAATCCACGCTGTGGCCTGGGGCCGGCGACCTGAGTACTGTCACTGTTCCCTGTTACAGCCAGCCATGACCAAGGGTGGTCACGGAGACCCCCAGAGGGACGGGTCAGGGTGGATGGCCGAAGGGCCCACCTGTGGGGCTCCAGGGGTTCTGGGCAGGGCCGCCGCTCACCCACACCCTCCAGAGGCACCTATGGGGGCCAGCCTGAGGTCACTGGGGCCCACGCAGCATCTGTGCTCAGGGAGCTCCAGCCCAGCAGTGGCCACAGCCAGGTGGTCAGGGGACGACCAGGGGCCAGGGACCAGCTCCTCTCAGGCCTGATAGGGCTGGGGGCCTGGGGGACCTGGGAGGCTACTGAAAGGGCGGGGGGCAGATCCCACATGCCTGGCAAGGGGCAGGCTCGCCCTTCTCAGGCTGGTCCTGGGTGGGAGGTGGACCCGGGTTGCGGGGGCAGTGTGGGCCGTGCTCTCTGCCCAGCAGGCTTCTGTACCAGCCTGCAGCACCGCCTCCCCCCTGAGCTTCAAGTGACTCCCTGAGAGGAGCTGGTCCCCTTTCCTCCGCGGGGAAGCTCGTCCGCTCCTCTGCCTGCCTCTGGGTCTCTGCCAGGCGCAGGAATGGAAGCAGATCCCCTGCTCAGCCAGCTCCAAGCACACAGCCTAGCGAGGACCCACATCTTCCAGTCCCGCCTTCCATCTTGGCCTGGGGTCCCCTGACCTGAGGCTGAGGCAAGGATGGGGTCCTAGCGGTGTACCCAGGGGACCCCAGGTGGCAGAAAGCAGTGGGGAGGAAGGAGAGTGTGCTGTCGAGCTGATCTCTCCCTGGGAGACCCTCCAGGGCATCCCTCAGGAGGAGGGCAGGGGGCTGGGGCACCGACCCCCCCATCGGGTCAGGGCTGCCCCGGAGCAGGGCTCTCGGCCCCCTTTTCTGGGCTGAATGAGTTCTGAGGTTTTAGCAGGGGTCCGGAGCTCAGGAGCCAGGGAGCTGTAGGCATACAGACACACGTACACAGAGACACACAAACAGACACACACACTCACGGACAGACAGACACACACATACACACACAGACAAACACACAAGCATATGTTCACACACATATGGACAGATAAGACAAATACACACACAGACACACATACAAACACACAGAGACACAAATATACCCTCACACACATGGACAGACACGTATGTACACAATCACACACAGACACACATACAGAGAGACACAAGTATATATTCACACACGCAAGGACAGACACACACATACACACACAAATATATAAATGTAATGTACATATATACACACACAGATACATGCATACACATTTAGACACTGCTTTAACACCATCACCGATGGAGTACTAGGCACAGAAGTTTTGCTCACTCTTGTAAAGATGAAGGAGGCGGATGTCACACAGAGGACGTTTCCCCATCCAGCCTCCAGCCTGCCCCCCAAGCCTCCAGACCCCCTTTCCCCACAGTCCCCAGATCCGCAGTGCAGGGCCCCCTCCTCTGGGTCCCACCCGCGGGGAGGGTTTGACTGCAGGCAGCTCCACATGGAGGAGCACCAGGCCTTCCAGGAGGAGGCTCTGAAGGCCCCCAGGGGAGCAGCCGTCTGGGGCCAAAAGCCATCCTGGGGCTTCCCCGAGGTCTCAGCGGTAAAGGGTCCACCTGCCCACGCAGTGGACACAGGTCCAACCCCTGACCCCGGAAGATCCCACGTGCCGCGGAGCGACGAAGCCCGGGCGTCAGCACGACGGAGTCTGTGCTCGAGAGCCCGGGAGATGCAACACCTGAGCCGGGCACCCCAGGGCTCGGGAGACGCAACAGCTGAGCCGGGCACCCTAGAGCCCACGCTCTGTGGCAAGAGAAGCCCGCACAATGAGAGACCCACACACAGCAACTGGAGAAGAGTCCCTGCTCGCCACAACTAGAGAGAAGAAATCGTATGCAGCAAGGAAGACCCAGCACCACCAGAAGTAAATCAACAGGCGAAATTACAGACATACATTTTAAAAGATATATATGCATACCAGGACTTCCCTGGTGGCTCAGATGGTAAAGCACCTGCCTACAAGGCGGGAGACCTGGGTTCAATCCCTGGGTCGGGAAGATCTGGAGAAGGAAATGGCACCCCACTCCAGTACTCTTGCCTGAAAAAAACCCATGGACGGAGGAGCCTGGCAGGCTACAGTTCATGGGGTCGCAAAGAGTCGGACACGACTGAGCAACTTCACTTTCACTTTCATATTTTAAAAAGCAACCCTGTCTGGAGAAGCAGGTGCAGGAAAGCAGACAACTGGCACAAAAAAATAGCCTGGCATCACCCCCAGTACCCCAGGCCCAGCGTTAAGGACAGCCTCGAGGTCTCAGACGGGTTGGGACCAAACAGCTCACTGGGCGTTGCAGAGCCTAGTGAGGGCTGCGGAGCCCCGCCGGCCGTCCTGGACGCCGTGGGGACACTTCCACTCTGCTGTGAGTGTCAGCGGCAGGCTTGCCCCTCGCTCTTTTCTCCTATGCAATCATCACAGAAACCCCCTCATCCAGTACTTAATAAAAACAATGGGGGTGGCGTGCAGAGAGCAAGGATGTCCTGGGCTGGAATTAAAGATTCCCCACGGGGCCTGAGGACTGAAACCTCAGGCAGAGCCGACTCACGGCTGTACACCGCCCTGGGGCTGCCTGGGACTCACGTGGGGCTGAGAGGCTCCTGAGTCACCCCGTCCACAATCTGAGGCTAAATCAAGATTTGGGGGAGGGTTGGGGGGGGAACGCATGTTACTTCTCACTCACTACGTGTACAAAGGACAGCATGGCTTGTGTCTCCACGAGTGGACAGGCAAGGTCTTACACCAGCACCTGCGTGGGATGGAGCAGTGTCAGAGCCCCAGGCGAGGGGCGGGCAGACCTGTGTACAACCCAGCCTCACCTCCAGCAGGCAGTGAGCTGGAACTCCCAGCCATCCAGCTGTCTGTCCGTCCGCCCTCTGCTCACAGCACCTGCCCCAGGGGTGGCTAGGACCTCAGGCAGAAAGGCTTGCGTAACAAGCAGCCCAGAGTCCCACAAACCATAAGAGATCAATACACAACAGCTCAGTTCAGCTGAGCCGCTCAGTCGTGTCTGACTCTTTGCGACCCCATGGACTGCAGCACGCCAGGCTTCCCTGTCCATCACCAACTCCCGGAGTTTGCTCAAACTCACATCCATCGAGTTCGTGATGCCATCCAACCATCTCCCCCTCTGTCGTCCCCTTCTCCTCCCACCTTCGCAACAGCCGCTGTCATTCGCAAGAACTCACAGCCTGGCACGGCCAGTTTCCTGGTTAACATAAATATACTTGATCTGGGGTGAAAGCTGCTTTAAGAGGGTCGTTTTGTGGGAGCACCAGCCCTGCTGCCTTCCGCGGCTCCTTCTCTGCACCAGCATCCTGCCGCGGCTCTGGGTGGCTGGGTGAGAGCGGGGTGCTGCCCCCTGGTGGTGGTAACTAGACACTGTCCAGAGGGGGCCTGTCGGTGTGGGCACCACCTACTTAGGTGTCCCATCCAGCCTGCATCTGCCCGCTTGTCCCTGGGGCCCCAGCCTGAGGGTCCTGCGGATTTGAGGTCTGGGCCTTCTTACCCTTCAAGATGGACTCAGTCCTCGGACCTCATGCAGCTGCACCAGTCGGGTGCTTTGCAAAGGGGACCAGTGCTCACAGAAGCCTGCGGAGCAAGGGCCACGGTCAGTGATCCTGCCGCCCAGCGAGTGGACTGAGGCCGGGGGAGGTGGCCCGGCGGGTACGTGGACACAAGGGGGAATCAGGATCCCCTGCGTGGCAGGACAGGGCAGGAGTGGGCGCTTAGACCCGGATGGGGTGGTTCGGGCCAGACCTCGCCACATAAAGAACCCTTGGGATGAGCTATGAAGCCATGAAAAGACCTGGAGGGGCCTCAGGTACATGTTACTGAGTGATGGAAGCCAGTCTGAAAAGGCTGCACACATGACATTATCAAGAAAGGAAAATCACGCAGACAGTAAAAGATCAACGGGTGTCAGGGGCTGGGGGCAGGGAGGATGAACAGGTGGGCTCAGGGGATTTCAAGTGAAACAGTTCTGTGTGATCGCATGATGGTAAACATACCTCAGTACACTGTGCTGGGCTCAGTCGCCCACTCGTGTCTGACTCTTTGTGACCAACAGGCTCCTCCATCCAGGGGTATTCTCCAGGCCAGAATACTGGAGTGGGTAGCCATGCCCTTCTCCAGGGGATCTTCCCAATACAGGGATCGAACCCAGGTCTCCCACATTGCAGGCAGATTCTTTACCATCTGAGCTACGAGGGAAGCCTAAGAACACAGGAGTGGGTAGCCAATCTCTTCTCCAGGGGATCTTCCTAACCCAGGGATGGAACCGGGTTCAGATTCTTTACCAGGTGAGCTACCAGGGAAGCCCATATATTATTATACGTTCATCTAAACACAGAGAACACACAACAGCAAGAGCAATTGCTGATGCACACTGGTGTGGACTTTATATCATAATGACATACCAGAACTAGCTCATCCATCATAACAAATGTAGCAGATACAAAGGTCACGGCAAATGTAACATGCAGAATGTTAACAGGAGAAACCGGGGGTTAGGGGGAGAGTGTATATGGGAACTCCCTGCTTACTGTTCAACTTCCTATAAACTGGAAACTGGTCTAAGAAAAAAAGCCTATTTAAAAAAATGTGAGAGAGAAAAACAGAGAGAGCAGGAACCACCACACTCCAGACCTAGCCCCAAACACAGCAGGTTCATTTCACTACAATTTCCAGACTGGCTCTAACATTTGGTTTAACAAGTCCCTCACTGCGATAATAACATGAAACATAAAGTCACGTGGTAAGGATCAATCCCACGGGGCTGTGACCACTTAATTCCCCCCGTGATAATGAAACCCCAGCACGGGAAGCCTTGCTGGGAATAAGAGAACAATTACCAGTAACATCAACACAGAACTCGCGTTCAAAGTGGAGGCATGTGGCTTCCTGGGTCTGACCTGGCAGTCGCTGTGCGCCCTCTCCTGTGATCTCTCGGGGTAGAACCCTGATCCACCAGCCAGGTCCAGGGCCTGGAGGGTCCAGGAGAGCAGCTGGCAAGGCCGGGCTTGGGCCCACCATCCGGGGGTGGGGGGGCAGCTGTGTGACACTGACGGCTGGTTGAGCTCTGAGAAGTCTCAGATCTGTAATGTGGAGCCTGGTCTCAGGAGGCACTGTTTAGAATCAGGCGAAGTGGAGAGAGCTCGGATGTGATGACTGACAGGTGCCGCCGACCAACAGCTGCTGGCTTAGTTCTCCTCGGTCCCGGGGGAAACCAGTCACTCAGGGTGGGGAGGGCAGAGGCTTCGAGAAGGGGGAAGGGGACCTGGAGCTCCTGGGGGCCACACCTTTGCTCACCCCGAAGCCTCATCAACAGCCTGTCCTGGCTTTGTCTGCCAATCAAATGGGATCCACACAGACCCAGCCCTGAACCTTGCTGGAGCTCGACGTGGGGAGCAGTCCGGGCCGCCGAACCCCACAAGCGCCACTGCCAAGGTTGATGTCAACCTCCCAGCTCATGTCCACTGCAGTGGGGGGCCCCCAGGACCCCGGGCCAGGGCATCAGGGGGCCTGTAGATTTCCCTTCCGGCTGGTTCACCCCCCAAACATTCCGTTCTCTGCTTCACTCCCTCGGCACAGACCTGCCTGGGGACGATCTCCCACTTGGTTCAGAGAAATTCAACAGCCTGGCCTCCTTCAAGATTCGTGAGCAAACGTGTCATGCATTCCCATCGTGGGACCTGGAAGCTGCTGAGATGCTGCCTGAACACGTGTCCACTGCCTCCCCTCTGCGGGATCCTTGCTTGTGCAGGAGCATGGCGGGCTGGCCTCCTCCTGCCTCAGACCATCTACCCTGACCCTTCAGTTCAGTTCAGTTCAGTCGCTCAGTCGTGTCCGACTCTTTGCGATCCCATGGACTGCAGCACGCCAGGCCTCCCTGTCCATCACCAACTCCCAGAGCTTGCTCAAACTCATGTCCGTTGAGTCGGTGATGCCATCCAACCATCTCATCCTCTGTCATCCCCTTCTCCTCTTGTCTTCAATCTCCCCAGCATCTTTCCCTTCCCTCCTCGGTGCCCTAACCATGGAAACCACTGCAGGTCGCCGCAACTTCATTCTGGCGGCAGAACTGCAGGCTGCTCGGCCAAAGTGTGAGCAACTCCCAACTCCAGCCAACAAAGCTCTTCTTGTTCACCATTCAGTCATCCACCCAACAAACGTCTGAGACCTACTATGTGCCAAGATCCCACAGGAACAAAACAGACCCAGTCCTGGCCCTCACTTGATCCATACCCCAACCCTCCTACGGAAATGGCCTGTCACCCCCATTTTACAGATGAAGATATGGCGGCTTCCCTAGTGTCTCAGACAGTAAAGAATCCACCTGCAATGCGGGAGACCTGGGTTCCATCCCTGGGTTGGGGAGATTCCCCTGGAGAAGGGAATGGCCACCCACTCCAGTATTCTGGCCTGGAGAATCCCAAGGATAGAGGAGCCTGGTGGTTACAGTCCATGGGGGTCGCAGAGTCGGACACGACTGATTGAGTACACATGGAGGCGGAGGGATGCCTGGGGGCTTTCCCAAAGCCACGTGGCTGGATTAGGGGCTCGGCCAGGGTCCCTGCTGCTCAGGTGTCCAATATCGCCAGCCCCCTTGCCACCTGCTGGTCTGAAAGTCCCAATCATGCACTTGCTTGTTCACCAATCAGGAACAGAGGAGCTGGTGGGCATTCAGGGAGGCAGGTGTGCAAACTGGCCAGGGACTGGTGTGGCGGGACACGCAGGGCCCAGCGCGTGGAGGTGGGGGCAGGCACCTCCCTTGTTCCAGGGACTCATCTCATCCCTCGCGCTCCAGACAGCAAAGCACACAGCGTTCTGGGGTCCTTGGGGACTTTTTTGACTGTGTATCTCTGCCCTCCCTCAAAGCCTCTACATTTGGCCCTGTCCCTTCCCGGAGGGTCCGGTTAACACCGGACCCCGAGTAGGCACTGCTGGTTTGGCCAAGGACCAATAGCCCATGTTCAGCTTATTTTCCAGGCTTCGCTCTCAGGGTAAATTCACTTCGCTATCAGGACGTGGAGTCCCTGCATCCTCGGGGAATCCAAGGGGAACCCAAGCTCCATCAGCGTGATGGTTTTGTAGCACTCTCCATCTTGCTCTCTGTATGACGCCAACAGCTGGTGTGGGGTTTCTGCATTTTACAAGTCCGCTCTAATATTGAATAAGCTTTATACGACCATGCGTCACAGCCTCTCCTGGGGCTCCGATGCACCCAGAGCGGGTCCCACCAGGTGCCGAGTCCTCACCTCCCCTCTCAGGCTTTTCTTTCTAACCATGACAGTGAGCACAGAAGTGCCGAGGGAGGCTACCGGGCTGTGGGCAGGTGCTGCAGGGAAGTGTCAGTCAGGGAGGGCTTCCAGGAGGAGGTGACACGCGCTGCACCAGCATCTTCAGGGCAGCAGCAAGCGCCCATCACCACGTTCCTCTCCTGGGTCAGGGGCCAGGTCTGAGAAGCGCAACTCCCTCGGGCCGGGTACCAGTGCAGACAGAGCAAAAGGCGCTCAGCCAGGCCCGGCTGGGCGACAGCGCTCACACACCTGGCGACCACCAGCACCCCTGCAGCTAGCGGCAGCCTCCAGCAGAGGGGTTTGTTCAGACTGGCTTTCTAAACAGGGAGTTGGCGGCACGAAGACCTTAGGGGGTCTGTGTCCCCTGCCCTCAGGACACTCTTTACAGGTTGCCGGGTTTGGGAACAGGCCTGGCCGCTCCTGCTGTTATGCGTTGGTAAATCAAAGCGAAGCGCCTCTAGTCACTCCCCATCTTCACCTCCTCAAGGGCTGCTGAGAACGAAACCGGGAACCAGGACGCGGCTCTCTGACCCGGCCCGTCTCGCCGAGGCTGTGGGCAGCCCGAGCCCAGTGAGCCGGCTGCAAGGGTCTCAGCACTGCCAGGCCTGAAGCCTCTGCAAACACATCATTCACCCGTCCTCGGCGAGGCTGCGGTGGTACCGGCTCCTTGCCGGGCTCCGGCTGGCACGGGGCAACGAGGACACGGTCCCCCACCCTGAGGAGCTCACACCCAAGGGCATGGAGGTGGAGACAGACGTGGAAACCCCTTGCAGGAAGCTCATCACACTGACGCTGGCCCCCGGGCACAGGAATGTTCACCCTGAGACCTGTCCCCAGGCCTGAGTCTATAATTTCCCGAGCGAACAGCAGGGGCCCGCTGGGGTGCCACTGCCGTGTGAAGCTGCGTGTGCTCTTAGATTCCCCACAAGCGTGATCTCTGCAAGCCCTGTGCAGTCCCCTGTCCTCAGCTGAGCCCCGGACCTGCCCCGCGGCCAGACGGCGGCTCCCCAAAGCCAGTGACGAGCGCCGCTCTGCCTGGGGTCTCGGGCCTGGAACCGGGGCTTCAGCACAAGTGTCTGCAGTAGAACTGATCACATGACTGACTGGATGTGTAAAGACAGCCGAACTCCAGCCCCAACCACAGGTTCCTGTCCCACAAGGCTTGATCCTCCTCCCGCTGAGCGGTGAGCTCTGAGACCCTCCCCGGGACCTGGGTGGACCTTTGCCGCTGCCCTGACCCAAGTCACAGTAGCCGCAGACCTCTGCCTGGCTTCCTAGGTTGCCGGGAGCCAGGCTGTGAGGAAGCCCAGATCACCCCACACGTCCCCCAGACTTGCGAGTCGGGGCACCTCCAGAGATGCCAGTCCCCAGGGCTTGAGTCACCCCAGGCTTTCTTGCTTTCCAGCTGAAACCACAGACACCATGGAAGAGAGAGAAAACATCCCCACGGAGCCCTTTCAGAATCTCTGTTCCTCGGAACCTGTGAGTGTCAGAGAACGCTTGTCTGATGCCATGAAGGTTTGGGGCGGTTAGTTACGCAGCCATAAAAAACCAGAACGCCACGCCAACCACCAGCCCAGGCAGCCCCATGCTGCGTCTATACAAGGTCCCCTCTCCCACCTCTGCGCCTGCCCCGCCTGAGGTCTGTTCCAGAGACGGTAAGGTCACTGCCTCCGCAGCCAAAGTCCCATAGTTGCTGGCCTTTTTGACCCAGGAAAGGAAGTGCCCAGCATCTGATGTGACCTTGACTGGAGTCGTCACAACCACCCAGCGAGGTGGACATCGTTATGCACATTTGGCAGAGCTAGAAACTGAGCTCCGGAAGGTCGGTAACCAGCCCAAAGCCACACGGCCAGAGGGGTGGAGCTGGGGTTCAGCCCCAGGTTGGCCTCCCTCCTGGAACTCTCAGTTCAGCTCAGTCGCTCAGTTGAGTCCGACTCTTTGTGACCCCACGGTCTACAGAACGCCAGGCCTCCCTGTCCATCACCAACTCCCGGAGTTTACTCAAACTCACGTCCATCGAGTCGGTGATGCCATCCAGCCATCTCATCCTCTGTCGTCCCCTTCTCCTCCCACCCCCAATCCCTCCCAGCATCAGGGTCTTTTCCAATGAGTCAGCTCTTCACATCAGGTGGCCAAAGTGTTGTGGAGTTTCAGCTTCAAATCAGTCCTTCCAACGAATACTAAGGACTGATTTCCTTTAGGATGGACTGGTTGGATCTCCTTGCAGTCCAGGGACTCTCAAGAATCTTCTCCAACACCACAGTTCAAAATTATCAATTCTTCCATGCTCAAGGCAGCTGCAACCCAGGATCCGCCTCCTCTGCCAGCTGCAGGCTCCACCCACTGTGGTTCCACCCACGACAGGCTCCACCCATAAAGATTCCACCCAGTCAGAGCCCCACCCACGGCAGCTTCTCATTCTGGGGTCCTCAGCCGCTCCTGGGCTGCACCCACCTCCCCTTGCTTTTTAAGAAGACAGCTCCTCCCTTGATGAGATTGCTTTGCTCCCAGCAGCTCTGAGCTCTCTTTGCACTTGCTGCTCAGTTGCTCAGTCGTGTCCGACTCTTTGCGACCACATGGACTGTAGCCTGCCAGGCTTCCCTGCCCTTCACTTTATCTCCTGAAGTTTGCTCAAACTCACGTCCATCGAATCGGTGATGCCATCCAAACATCTCATCCTCTGTCGTCCCCTTCTCCTGCCTTCAATCTTTCCCAGCATCAGGATCTTTTCTAATGAGTCAGCTCCAATACTTTGGCCACCTGATGCAAAGAACTGACTCACTGGAAAAGACCCTGATGCTGGAAAGGTTGAAGGCAGGAGAAGGGGACAATAGAGGATGAGATGATTGGATGGCATCACCGACTTGATGGACGTGAGTTTGAGTAAACTCTGAAAGTTGCTGATGGACAGAGAAGCCTGGCGTGCTGCAGTCCGTGGGGTTGCAAAGAGTCAACTGAACAACTAGACTGAACTGAACTGACAGCTCTTAGAGGCCAAAGTATTGGAGCTTCAGCTTCAGCATGTCTTTCCAGTGAATATTCAGGGTTGATTTCCTTTAGGATTGACTGGTGTGATCTCTCTGCCCTGGGACAAGTTTATCACCTTCTGGATCTGGTTCCAGAAATGGGTCCTGCCTGCTCCAAATTCAACCAGGGCCGCCGTAGCCAGTTCCCAAGCAGATGCCACACCAAAATCCCCCAGGCACCTGGGCCCAGCTGCTCAGCCAGGGAGACGCCAGGTTAGGACTGCAGGCCAGTTGTCCCGGCCCCAGCGACCAATGGCAAAGCTCAGGCAGAGTTCAAGCGGGGAAACCCCAGATTCCTGCTTCATGCAGGGACGGCCCCCCAGCCCACACGACGACCCCCCCACCCACGCGATGACCCCACTGTGCGCGGAAAGAGGAACCTCCGTGGACTCTCAGGAGGCGAGGATAATGGGAGACAGCACAAGTGAACCGCTTCCCCCTCACGTAGGAGTCCTGGCCCTCAACTCCTTGGAACGTGACCGGGGCCTGGAGAGAGGCGCGCGAGTTACAGTGAGGCCACTCGGTCGGTCTATCTCCAACACGACTGTGTCCTAATAAACAGGAAACTGGGGCAGAGATGCACAGAGGTTCGAGGAGTGGAGATGCAGGGAGGAGATGGCCATCGGCACGCCAAGACAGGCCCCGTCCCCACAGACCTCGGAAGGAGTCCGTGCAGGGGACAGCTCGACTTTTAGGCCCCTGGCCTCCAGAGCCGTCTGGGAAGAAAGGTCTGCGGGATTTGTTCCCGTGGCCACCAGGAGCGGGAGGCAGGGCTGGGCACTTGCCGCCCCACTGTCCCCCGAGCCTGTCTTCCTCTGCATGGGGGGACAGTCACGCTGTCCCAGGCTGGGCTTCTGCAGACTGGCATGCGGTAGGGGCTTTGCAGGGGGTGGTGTCTGCTGGTAGAGGGGTTGCCCCCCACCCCGAGGCAGAAGCTGCGAGAACACGGCAGTGAGCAACCCCATGCCTAACCCCCGGAAGCTCAGGCTGCCCACGGGGGGCGCCCAGCTACCTTCGTCTCCAGCTTCTGGCAACTCACAGACTCCTGAAGCTTCAAGCAGCTGGCCCAGGCGCCCCGGCCACCCACGTCCCTGGAGGGTGTTATTTCATCGCCGGAAGAACTGCCTTCCTGACCGGCGAGGCATCTGAGTATCTCACAGGCAGCATTCCGGAAGGTCAGGGCTTAGGTGGGCATCTGGGCCCATCCCCCACCCCAACACAGGGGAAAGCAGAGGGCAAGTGTGAGGCCAGGCTGGGGCCAGAGCTTGGACTCCCAGGCCAGAGCCACCGCGTGTCCCCCATGTCACCTCGCCGTGGGCCAGGCGGCCACCGCTGGGCCAGCCAGGGACATCATCTGGGTCTTCAGCGTACGGCTCAGGCCCAGCTCACAGCAGGTGCCCCATGAATATTTCTGACGTCTGATGGGAAACGGGGGTGCGTTTGGTGACTCAGAGCACAGAACGGCACCCTGAGGGGGTGAGAAGTACCAGTCTGAGTGACAACACCAGCTTTCGGCTCCTGGGCCTGCACTAACGGCCAGACACGGCGCTGGGCGATTCCCACCAGTGACCCGGGTCACAGGCCGGGAGTGGGCATACGGCACCGCGGGGACTGTAAGCCGGGCCTGCAGGACCCCAAGCCCCAGCTGTCAGCTCCCACCAGGGTCTGTGCGTGCTGCAGGCGTCGTTTCAGTTATGTCTGACTCTTTGCAACCCCCACGGACTGTGGCCCGCCAGGCTCCTCTGTCCATGGGATTCTCCAGGCGAGAATGCTGGAGTGGGTTGCCATGTCCTCCTCCAGGGGATCTTCCCAACCCAGGGATTGAACTCGCATCTGTCTGCATCTGTTGCATTGCAGGTGGATTCTTTACCCACTGGGCCACCTGGAAAGCCTGAGGGTCTGTGAGGACTGTGCTAATCCTGCCAGGGACCCTCACCCTCCAGGCAGAGTGGGGGAGCGCAGCCAGCTGGGGGACTGGCCGATACACCCCTTGTGCACACGCGCCCGCTCAGAGTCAGAAGCTGCCCCCTTCTCCTGCCCAGACCCCTGGAGATGGGGCTGCAGCCTTGGCCTGGAGACACCACCCACCTGACGGGGACCCAGCTGCCCCTCAGGTCACCATCAGCGAGTCCCTGTGGCCCAGAAGAGTCCTTGGCTTTGAACCCAGCAAGGGCACCCGAGAGGTCACCATACCCCTCCCCCAGCCTCTCCTCCTGACCCCTCTCCCAGGAGGATGCTGTCTACCTTCCAGAGCCTGCTGCCGACCCATCACTTAAAGTCCAATTATCCCGTTCATTCTGCACATCAGGGAACATCCTCTCTTGACCATTCTGAGATGGACAAACAGGTTCCAAGGACCGAAGCAGCTTCCAGGCCGGAGCCGGAAGCCCAGTCTCTCTGAGTCTTGCTCTCCCCTCTGTGGCATGCTGGGCAGGGTTGGGGGTAGAGGAGACAGGCGAGGGGCAGAGGGCAGGGAGGGGACCAGCTCTGGGGGCGGCGGGCCCACTTTGGACCTAACTCGCTGTGTGGCATCTTCCCAGGGTGCCCCTGCTTGGCAAACCTCCCTGTCCACGGCTGTGTTCATGGACTCTGAGCAGCCCAGCAGCTGCAGGCTCATAGCCTCGGCAAAAGCACCCATTTCACCAGCCGTCAGCCCAGCAACATCTCCTGTGGTGGAAGGGCCCTCCTTCAACTGAGCCTGGAGCCCAGGCTTTCTGCGTCCTTCCCAGGGCCAGCAGCCCTTTCTTGGGGTCTCCATTCCCGGCCTGACCCTCCTCCTGGCCTCGTGGCTCCGTACTTGCCCCCCAGACGCTTGCCTGGTAGACAAAGACCCTCCTCCCCCAAGTCACGAAGCGGCTTCCCGTGACCGAAGTGTGCAAGACCAACAGCAACGTTCAATTTAAAACTCCTCCGACCTGCACCTCGGGGCCACAGCACCTCTGTCCACGACGTGCACAGGATTCCAGACCCACGAGGAAGGCCAGCCCTACAATCCTTATGTTTCTCCACAGAGGGTGGACCTTAAGAGCCTCCTTGGTGATCTGTGTTGCTAACGAAGGGGTCTCAGCTGGGGTCTGAAAATCTGGGCTGGACGATCCTCAACCAAGTAAGACACCCCACCCACTGGCTTTGGTGCTGCCGGGCCCCCGGCGGGAGTCTGTGAATGGAGCAGGGAGGGATGGAGGGGTCTAGTATCTGCTGGGTGGTTCTGCAGGAGCTCCAGTCTCCTCTCCTTTCTCGGAGGGGCCGCCAGGGCCGGGGGAGGGTAGCAGGGACAGCAGCTGGCCTGCGACTTCCGAGGGCAGGCTCTGTCCCCAGCGGCCACCCAGAAATACCGCAACTCTCCTTTCTGCCTGGCTGTGGGCTCTGCACGCCAACTGGCTGGAGATGCACGATCACCTCCCGCAGCATGCTGGCGGGGAAACCGAGGCTCAGAGAGGCTTAGCAACTGGCTGAGATCACACAGCTTGTAACCGACAGGGGAGGGATTCAAGCCCAGGTCTCTGTGTGACTGGCCTGGTTTCCCATTTCTTCTGGCTTCCCCGCCCTCCCCACTTCCTTTAGCCTTCTGTCCTTTCGCGTGTTCTCCACCTAACCCGCTGGTCCAAGGAGGGTGATGGGAGGGGAAGCGTGTCCTGAGTGTGTGTCTCGTTAGAACTGGGTGTCTGGATGGTTGTACGTTCATAGAGGTGTGCCCACCACCACAGTCAACTTCAGAATATTTCCATCCCTCTGAAAAGTAAAGCCTCTGCCTTCAAAGAGGGAGACCCGGCTTTGATCCCTGGGTCGGGAAGGTCCTCTGGAGAAGGAAATGGCAACCCACTCCAGTACTCTTGCCTGGAGAATCCCATGGGCTGCAGCCCACGGGGTCGCAAAGAGTCGGACACAACTGAGTGACTTCACTCTCACTTTCACCCATTACCATCCCTCCCCCCAGCCCCTGCTCCTGGCAACCAACGGACCTTTCTGTCTCTGTAGTGGATTTGCCTACTCTGGACATTTCATATAAAGACAGACATACCATACGTGGTCCTTTGTGTCTGACTTCCTTTATTCAGGTTAAGGCTTTCAACATTCATCCACGCTGTAGCAGGGGTCAGCACATCGTAACTCTTTATGTCCAAATAACTGTCCACTACAGGAACAGACCTCATGGCCTCCAGGGTGGTCACCACCTTGGGGCTGTTACACATAATCTGCTCTGGGCGCTCTGGCACAGGCCCTTTTGTGTGGACGTTCCCCTTTCCTTACTGGTCATACGGTAAGTCTGCATTTAACTGTCTGAGGAACTGCCAGACCGCTCCCCTAAGAAGCTGCACCACTTCACCCTCCCACCAGCAGCTTCTCCACATCCTCGTCAATATCGGGTACCGCTGGTCCTTTTCATCACGGTCACCCCGAAGGGCTTCCCAGGTGGTGCTGTGGTAAAGAATCCACCGGCCATGCAGGAGATGCAAGAGATACGGGTCCACTCCCTGGGTCGGGAAGATGGCAGGGACTGAAGGAGGATGGCATGGCAATCCACTTCCGTTTTCTTGCCTGGAGAACCCCCTGGACAGAGGAGTCCGGTGGGCTACAGTCCACGGGGTCACAGAGTCAGACACGACCGAGCATGCACTCACCCTGATGGTCGTGAGGTGTGTCTCACTGTAGCTTGGGTCTGCATCTCCTGATAGCTGCCGATGCTGAGCATCTTTTCACGTGTTTGTTCACTAGCTGGATATCGTCTTTGGAAAAATGTCTATTCAGATCTTCTGTTCATTGAATTTGGCTTTTTCTGATTGAGTTATAAGAGTTGTTTATATATTCTGGATGGGCTTCCCAGGTGGTGCTAGTGGTAAAGAATCTGCCTGCAATGCGGGAGACCTGGGTTTGATCCCTGGGTTGGGAAGATCCCCTTGAGAAGGGAAAGGCTACCCCCTCCAGTATTCTGGCCTGGAGAATCCCATGGACTGTATAGTCCATGGGTTGCAGAGTCGGACATGACTGAGCGACTTTCACTTTCATGTATTCCAGAAGGGCTTCCCAGGTGGCACTAGTGGTAAAGAACCCGCCTGCCAATGCAGGAGACATAAGAGATACATGTTCGACCCCTGGGTCAGGAAGCTCTGCTGGAGGAGGGCATGGCAATCCACTCCAGTATTCTTGCCTGGAGAATCCCATGGATAGAAGTACCTGGCGGGCCACAGTCCATAGGGCTGCAAAGAGTCGGACACAACTGAAGCGACTTAGCATGCATGCACACACTTGTTCTAGACACAAGCCCATCCTCTGATATATGATTGGCAGAAATTGTCTCCTGTTCTGTGGTTTGTGCTTTCATTTGCTTCATAATAATCTTTGCAGCGTAAGACTGCTTCATTTTGAAGAAATCCAATGTATCTTTGTCTTCTTGCTTGTGTAGTTAGTGTCATTTCTAAGAAACCCCCAAGATCACAAATCCTTACCCTGATAAAATATTTTCTTCCAAAAGTTCTACCATTCTTTAACTTTTAACTCTTATTACGATTTTACATAAATAGAGTCACCTCTCGCTCCCTGGCACTTTTATCACAAGATGACATTTCTTTGTCTATGACTCTGGCACAACAGGCTTATCTCACTGGGTTTTGCGCAGCTTTTAATATGACGATTGTTTTGCCCGTTGTCTGGTGAGAGCAGGGCGTGAAGGACACCGAGTCCTCAGCCGCATGGGGAGACCCGCCCAGCCGCCAGCCTGGAAATTCCATTTGAGAAGCGAACACCGTCACATGTCTCAGCACCTGGAATGCGCTGGGGTTTTCAGAACAATCCAGTCCACAGTGCAGGTCGGGGGATGTTATCTGACCCCTAGCCAGCCGGAGCTCTAAGGCCAAGAGCAAGACCTCCATGTGGGGCTGCGTCCAGCCAGCCCGGGGAGGCGGGGGCACCCAAAACTACACATGTGGGGGGACAAACATGGAGAGTCTGCTAGGAGGGTTCAGGGCACTCTGGGAGGGAAGAACTGTAAACACCCCCATTTTATGGAGGGGGTCCAGAATGTGCCTCTTCCCCTACCCCAGAGCAAGACAGCGCCCAAACCAGGCCCACAGTGGGGTCAGGCCAGAGGCAGGTCCGGCTTCAAACCTTTGCTGCAGCTCACCCGGCACCCCAGGGGCTGCTTCCTGCATAAAATCCCCCCTGAGCCTGCAGAGTGTGGGATGCTGACAGAGACACACGGACGAGGGTCCCAGATCCTGCCTCTGGACAGACAGAGGACGCCAGAGGCGGGGACTCTGCCCAGCTGCCCAGAGACAGGGTCTGCTGGGCACTGAGCCTCGTACCAGGATGAGCCCTGAGCGCCGGGCTGGGAGCCCTTCAGGATGGAGGCTGGACCCTGCCGGGGCCCCCAGCCCTGTATGCCTCAGCTCTCAGAGGCTCTCCCCGCTGCACCCCACCCCGCTCCGGGTGTCCAGGCTCGTTCCCCTGCGCCCCCCCCCCCCCCCCGACTCCGTCTCCTCCTCCAGCCCCTCCCCCTGCCCCAGAGCTTTCTTCCTGTCATCTGTCATCCGAGGTGGGGCTGGAACGGATTGGAAGCTCCTTAGCGTTTCTTTCTACCTTGATGGGCCCTGCTGTTCGCATCTCTTAAGGCTGGTTTCTCAGCCTCGGGCCCAACCGACATTCTGGGCTGGACCACGCTTCTGTGGGCCCGCCCCGTGTACCACGGGGAGGTGAGCGGTGGCTTTGGCCTCAACTGCCCCCCCCAGGGGCCTGTGGCACCCCATCACCTGCCAAGCTGAGGCCATTAGAAGTGGCTCCAGTCAGGGCCGAACGCCCCCCACCCTCCCCCAGGAACAAAGTCAGCCCTGGTTGAAGACAGAACCACCAGCAAAGAAGCAAAAGGCAGCAGCAAGGAGGCACAGGCTCAACCCAGAGCAGGGGCCCAACAGCATCACCCACCGCGGTGTGCCTCCCCTTCCCCGAGCCTCAGCTTCCTCATCTGTAAAATGGGTCACCGCACAGGGCGGCCACCAAGAGCCCAGAGGAGAGTCGCCGAGGCCGGGCACGAAGTGGGCACGCGTCAGCTCCGGCCACGTCTGCCTGCACACACGGCAGAGCTCACGCTGCCTCCCCTCGGGTGGGACCCCGGGATTTCTGGGGGGACTGGAGACTTCCGGTCAGAACAGAAGCCTTGCTCCCGGGCTGATGGTCAGAGCGGTGAGGGCAGCGTGGGCCTTACCTGTCCCTCCTCCAGGCATCCCCATGGACTGGGACCTCCGCGAGTCCGGCCGGCACCCGGGAGGCCGCGGGCGGGCGGCAGCTGGCCGAGGGCTGGAGCCTCTGTGGCCAGCACGGCCCGCGAGGGACACGCCAGAGGGTCACGAGGCAGCTGCCGCTCTCATGCCCGAGGAGGGCCGGGCCGAGCCCTGCCCGGCACACGGAAATAGACTGCCACCCCGCTCCAGAGACACACCTGTTCCCGGGCGTCCGGGAAAGCGGCTTTGCAAGGGCAGTGGGGGAGGGTCCCCGGGGAGCTGGGTCCATCTGCGGCCCTGCATGGCCAGTCCGGCCCGCAAGCCCCCCCCAGCGCTTCCCAGCCCTTGCCTGCATCCTAGGGACCAAGCTCCACAGCTGTGGCCTCTCCCCCAGTCTGCAGACAGAAACCCCCAAAGGCTCTGGGGCGGTGGGGGGGGGTGCTACCCTTCATCGCCAGCATCTGGGGGCTCCGGGCAACCCGGGCTAGCATCCACATCACTGCCATCTCAGCCCCTGAACCCACAGGGCTGGCTTTTCTCTGTATGTCCCTGCGTGTCCTTTTCTGTCTCTTATATGAGGACACCAGTCACCGGATTTAGGGTCCCCTCTCTTGCAGGAGGACCTCCTCTCCATCCTTACCCTGATTACCCTGCAGAGACCCTATTCCAAATAAGGTCACACATGAAGGTTCCGGATGGACATGAATGTCGGGGCGACTTAACCCACTCCGCAGCCCCCGTGTGCCAGACGGGAGGAGACTCAGGCTTGGGACACTCGGGGGGGCCCCTAGGCATAAAGGCAGCGTGAGAGACCCCTCGTCCCCTGGGTGCCCCCTGTGGATGCCTCTCTGTGACACTCGGCGTTAAGCTCTCCGGGGGCAGAAACGCCCTGTGACCCATGAACCACACAAGCAGGAAGGCCTGCCTGGCCCCCAGCACGTGGCCCCTGAGAACCTGCAGGCGTTATCCTGGCTTACCGCGCGTGTGATGGCCTAGTGGCCGCGGGCCAGAATCCCACAGCGGAGAGGCTCAGTGGCCACGCCCTGGAGCATGGGTCATATTTTCCAGCGCTCAGCTGCAGCGGCTTTTGGGGCAGAGGGGCCCTCCACGGGCAGCCAGCAGAAAGCACCTCATCCGCTCGGCTCTGAAGAGTCAGAGCGGATGCTGGCCGCCGGCTCTCCCGGTCTGATCTGACATTCGCTAGCCACACTAGGTCGTCTCTGGGGGCTCACACAGTAAAGAATCCGCCTGCAGTGCAGGAGACCCGGGTTTGATCCCTGGGTCGGGAAGATCCCCTGGAGAAGGGAATGGCTACCCACTCCAGTATCCTTACCTAGAGAATCCCATGGACAGAGGAGCCTGGCGGGCTACAGTCCTTGGGGTTGCAAAGAGTCAGACATGACTGAGTGGCTAACACTGCACGACTAATCGCACTGGTCTGAACCTCTCTGCCCAGTGGGCAGGGGGTGGTAAGCACAGGGCTGCAGGCAGCATCACGCCAGGCCGGCCCCCGGGTCCCGCCAGTGGGTACGGATGACACATCCCAGGAAGACAGTGACAGCCCCGCGGGCTTACAGAGGAGAGCTTCTCTCCACTCATCTATTCTGCAGCTTCTATGCCTTGCTCGGGGCTGAAATGACCACCATGTTGGTGATGGCGACAAAGACAGCAGCCCCCGCTGAGCCCGCAGCCAGCCCCGCACCCGAGGCAGGGACCGTCACGTCCCTACTTCCCCCGTGAGGACACCGAGGCAGAGACGGCGGGGAGCTGGGCCAGCTCGCAGGCTCTGAGTCTGAGAGTCAGGCGGGAGAAGAAGGGAAACCCGGCGACTGGTGCTTGACCAGTCGGTGATACGACCAGTCGGGGTATCACAGGAGCGGTGGGCGCTCCTGGGGGGCTTGAGGGGATGCCCCGGCAGAGAGAACCCGGGGTGACTCAGAGACCAGCAGGTGGAGAGCTGCTCGACTCCGGGACGGAGGTTGGAGGGGGGAGACAGTGGGCTGATGTTCCCGGCAGGACGACGCCCTCAGCCACATGAGGCTCTGCTGGGGTGGGAAGGTGGGCAGCGGCCAGGGCAACAGACCTTCCATCAAAAACCCTGGGTCAGTCTCACCCTGAGAACGAGAGAGGCTGGGGTCTGCCCAGGCAGAGAATCATCGTAGCAGGAGCCACGGGTACCGTCCACTCACAGGGCAGGCACCACTCCCACCCGGACTCAGTGTGGCTCAAGGCCCCCTCGGAAGGACCGCCTCCCTCTCCCATGCATCCCAGAGAAGACGGCTTGGATATGAACCCCAAGCCCGCTGCTTCCTGGGAAGCGCAGAGGCCAGCTGTCTTGCCTTCCGGCCTTACCTCCCCAGGGCTGGTGCCTCCCCCACCAGGGTCCCACCCCAGGCCTGATGCCTCCTGTCCATCTGGGCTGGGGGGGCCAAGACCCCTATGCATGGCACGAGTGGCCACAACACTGCCAGAAGGATCTCCCAGGAGATGGGAACTGTAGGCTGGGGGCTCCTTGGCCCCTGGGACCCTGGGGCAGAAATCCGCCCCAGGCCTGGTTCAGCTGGCCTGATCTGGTGTTCGCTGACCACACTAGGCCTTCCCTGGGCTCCGTGCCTCTCCAGGTATCTGCCTGACCGACCCTCAGCTCCGGGCACCTTCCCTGCCCACCCGGCCTGGCCTGCACCAAGGCCCCCATGGAGCCCAGGGCCCCCCACCACATGCCATGACTCACCAAGTGCAGTGGCTGCCAGGCCCGTGGGAGACTGCGCTTGGCTTGTGGGGGCACCTCACCTGCCCACAGAGGTTCCAGGGGTCCGGGACCCATGGCCTCCTCTCCCATGGCCTCAGGTGGTTTCCCAGGACCAGGGGTGGGGGGGCTGCCTGGGCCCCACCCCTCTTCTGTATCTATTCTGGGGGGAGGGGGCAGGAGGGGCAACAGAAGGCAGCACCCACGGGGAGGACGGGCCATGGCCGCTCAGCGTCATCGTGGGAGATTCCTGCCCCGCGGCCTCTCCAAAGTCCCCGTGTGCGCTCAAGGCGGAGGACCAGGACCCCGGTGAGCCCAAGCTAACGGTGGATGTGCATGTCCCCTCCTGGGATGGTGACGAGCTGGGGCTGTGGGGGAGCGGTCCCCCCACCCTGGACCCTGCAGGATGAGCCCCCATCTATCCCTCTGAGGATGTGGAGTGAGGGGTGAGGTGGGACGTTGTCCCTTCCCCACCCAGAACTTTCCAGACTGATTCTCAGGGAGAGCCGCAGAGAGGCAGAGCCGAGCCCTGAAAACCCACAAACGGCTGCGTCCAGGGCATAGGGGACCAGGCTCACTGCCGCCGGCGGGCAGCTTCCACATGGTTCCAGCATCAGCGCACAGAGAGGCGCGTCTGCCAGGTGGTGGCCCCACATGCACAGGGGTGCACGCCTGCAGATGGGCCGGGTCTGGGCCCCCCTGTTCCTGCCCCCTCACCAGGGTCCCCTGCAGAGGCGGAGGGCTCTTCTGGCCCCGTGACTTGGTGTCAGCTCCCGCATCTGGCTTGGTCACTGCACGCACGCAAGTGGAAGCGACCGCCTGCGGGTTCAGGCGTCACACAGCTCCCTCCGCTCTTCCTGCACGGAGCGCATCCCCCAGGCCAGCCTGATGGTCCCAGGAGGAAGGTGGAGATGGGACAGGCCAGCCCCCTGAGAGCCCGGTCTGGTCAGCTGAGCTGACCGGCCAGCCCACAGGCTCCAAGCCAGGATAACTGATTGCCGATTTAGCCTCTGAGCTCTGGGATTGTTCATTCCACAGCGTACTAGTTTCCTGTAAATCAGCACAAGCTGGTAAACAACAGTTCTGGAAGCCGGAAGTCCAAAGTCGGTACCACGGGGTTGGGACGCAGGTGTCTGTGGGCAGGGCTCCCTCGGGGTCCGGAGGGAGGAGCCTTCCCGCCTCTTCCAGCTCTGAGCGGCAGCCGGCATCCTTGGCTCGTGGTGGCATCACTCCATCTCCAACCACCCTGCTGGCCTGGCCCCTTCTCCTCTGTCTGTCTGTCTGTAGCCTCCCTCTGCCCCTCTAAGAGTCACTGTGATGCCTTTAGGATATCATGCAGATAATCCAGGATAACCTCCCCAGTGCAGCCTCCTTACCTTAATCCCATCTGCAAAACCCCGCCTTTTTTCCCCAAACACTCACAGGTCCTAAGAGAGGATGTGATGTATTGGGGTGGGGGAGCATTTTTCAGCCTGCCCCCGACACAGCAATAGTTAATATGATATGTGAATACGTAAGAGGTTTTTTCTTTTCACCAAACAATACTTCGCCCTATTACTTGGGATGTGCTCTGCTATTTTCCTTTCTTTTTCCAGACTGGGTCTGTTCTTTTTCTATTCAATTCAACCTCTTATGTAACAAAGGCTGCTGTGACCCACTAAACCGATTTCACACCCACAAATGGGTCGCCACCTGCAGTGGAGAAAGTTCTATCCTGACTTCTACGCCTGTACCCCTGCCAGAGTGGGGGGACCAGGCAGAAATGACGGTGATTTAAAGAAAAGAGAGAAACGCGCTCTTCCTGGACACAGAGGGTGGGTGGGACTGCAGGAGCCTGGAAGGACCCCCACATGCGAGGACGTGATCCAGGCCTCCCTGCCCCATGGACAGTCCTCCACCTGTGGCCCCAGCAAGCTGGCTCCAGCCAGAAAGGCAACGGGGAGGGTGGTCCCAGGCGGCTTCGGTGGCCCCACTTACGTCCCCAAGCCCCTGACTGCCCCCCTCCCCGCACACTCCCTTCCCCACATTCCAGAAAAATTCTTCACCCCTAACAGCTCCACTCTGTGTCCACACAGCCCCGAGCCTTCCCAACTGAGGCCCACTTGCATCTTCATTGCCGAACGCTGCTTAAAAAAATGAGAAACAAGTGAAATCAAGGGCTTGAAAAATTTATGACACGTGGGTCCTGGTTTTTCAGGTGAGTTTAAGGCAAGGAAGACACCAGTGCTGTCTCAGGGGCATAAAAATTAGCTTCAAAGGGATCTAAGACATCGTCCAGTCCCTGGACAAGGATTCCTTAAGAGCCAGCTGGGCCCCTCCTCAGCATTCAACCCCCAGAGCTGGACACCCCCACCTGGAAGTCCTCCGGGAGCCTAACGTTCGGAAAAGAGAAGGCCTCACCATGGCCGCCCTCCCTCGCCCCCTCTCCCCACCCTCCAACAAGGCCCCGCATCCCACACCCACACCGCCGCCCAGCTGGCTGCCCTTCCGAAGCTCAGGCAGCCTTGCGTCTGCAGCCGGCTCCATGCCTCTGCCTCTGTGTGTCCTGGGCCCATTGGCTTCGCCTCTCTGGGCCTCGGCTTCCCGTCTGCATAAGGGGGTTCCTGCCCGCCGGGCTGCAGAAAGACTGAATGAGACGATACAGGTGAAAGCGCCGGGCGCCTCACGCGGCACATGATGGGCACTTGGTGAGCGGCATCTCTCCGTCCCAATTCCTAACTGTATGAGTTTGGCTGGAAGAAACGGCCACAAGCTAAGCGACTTAAGTACAGAACCCTATCCTCTCGCGGTCTGGGGGCCGGAAGTCCTGAATCAGGGTGGAGCAGGGCGGTGGTCCCTCGGGAACCGCCAGGGGAGAGCCCCTCCTGGCTTCCTCCTGACGCAGGTCGCGGGCGACGCTCGGTGCGGAGCGGCAGCCCTTCAGCCTCTGCCTCTGCGGTCCCGGGGCCCTCCTCCCATGTCTCCGTGTCCGTGTCTCTCTTCCTCGTCTCATCAGGACGCCCTACTCCGTGTGACCTCATCTCAACGAGCCACATCTGCAGCAACCCTATTTCCAAATAAGGTCACGTTCACAGGGACCAGAGTCGGGACTTCAGCACCACGCTTCCGGGACACAACTCAGCCCAGAACACAGACCTGCCCGTCGTCACCAGCACCGTCGGTGGTCCCGGAGCAGCGCATGCCGCACATCGGCGTTGTCCTTAGGCTTTCTCCCTCCTTCCCCGGGCTGCCCCTTCTCTCAGTTCCTCCCACCCGCCTCCTTTCTCACCAGGTTGAGACTCTGCCCCCACCCCTCCTCCCTGCCAGGCCGACCTCCGGGTCCCCAGCACGGAGCGCCATGTCTGGGGCGGGGGGCTCAGGAGGCCTCCGGGATGGAGACCGAACTCCGCGCCCCAGACGCCAGCCTGGACCACCTCCTTTCATTCCACTCTTCTCATCCATGCCCACGTCAGGGGAGCTGAGCTCCAAAGGGGCCACACCTCAGCCCACCACCCCCACAGCATCCACACCACTGTGTACAACACGTATGCCCCCAGCAAGTCCAAGGTCCCACTAAGGCGACAGAGAGCAGGGACCCCTAGGCATCAGCCAGGAGGTGGCTGCAGTCGGACAAGCCCGGACGCCCAAGGGTTGAGCGAGTCAGAGGCTGTCCGGTCTGGTCACGGAGCAGTGGATGCCCTGAGCAGGGTGTTCTGTCGGTGCAGGCGGGCTGGCCGTCAGCTCTGAGGCTCCCACCAGGAGCTGGCAGGCTGGCAGGGTGACAAACAGTCAGGCAGGCACACGAACGCGCAGGCTCGCCCTGCGATCAGCGTGTAACGGGAAGGAAAAGCAGGGGCAGGGCCGGGGCTGCCGCAGGGTGTGGGAGGCAGGGGGCCTCTCGAAGGAGGAGAGCATGCTGAAGCTGACTTCAAAGGCCGAGAGAAAACTTAGGAGCAGGTGGGTGAGTCCAGCGGAGGAGTCAGCAGGTGGGAAGGCGCCCGAGGCGAGGAGGGGGCTGCCCAGAGGCCCACAGGAGGCCCCGCAGGACGAGGAGGGGAGAGGGTCTCGGCGACCCCTTGAACCTGGCGAGCAGGGAGATCGCCGGTGAGGATGATCGGAAGTGATCTCACCTCCGTCTCCCCATTCAGAGATGCCCCCTCCTCAGCCCACACTGTGTTCCCCGCCCAGCAACACACCTGGACGCAGCTCCCCGCGCCCCTGGCCTGCCCCCTGACCCCAACACACACACACACACACCCGCTCCTGAGCCCCACCACCCGAGCTCAGATGGAGAGCGATTCCTCATCCCGGCCGGACAGAGCGCAGGGCACGCGCCCATCCCTCTGCTCGGGCAACACAAACGGACAAGCAGCCCCACAGAAAACCACAACGGAGGGAACAGCAGACTCACAGAAACACAAAGGGCCCGGATGCCAGAGCAACGCCCTCAGCGCCCAGGACGGGGCAGGGGGAAGCAGGGAGAGGCCCTCTCCCCATCCGTTGGTGAATCTGAGAATCTGAGACAGTGCCCAGTGCTGGGCCGGGAGGGGACGGGGACAAGAGACTCAGGTGTCCTTTGGGTAAAGGTGTGACCTGGACCCGCCTCCAGGGACAGTGGTTTGGCAGACAGACGACATTCCCATTTCACATGCCGCTTCTGGGCAGACATATAAGTTCCACTCACAGGTCTGTCTGCACACAGGTGCAAAGCCACGGGTGCAGGAGTTCGCACCCCGGCTGGATGCACGCGGGCGGTGCTAAAAACCTGACCGCGCACGGGACCAGCGGCCCTGCGTGCTCCTGTGTGGGGAGCCGTCACACAGCACCCTCTCGCCAAAGCACGCTCAGCCCGAAGCCCATCACCAAGGAACAGAGACCCGCCCAGCTCGGGGAGGGGGCAATCCACAGGGAACAGGTCTGGACTCTAAGTGTCGGAGGCATGAACGGAAAACTAAAGAAAGCAAGTGGGAAGAACATCCCGGAATAACGGAGGCCAAAGACAGAGACATGTTAACCGGCTGTGGTGTAGACCCCAGCCTGGCTCCTGGAGGAGAAAACGTAGACAAACATTTGTAAAGGGGCCCTGTGGGGAGGGGGCAACAGGAAATGGGGATTTTCTGTGGCTGATATTTGGATACAGACATGTGCTAAGGCCTGGGAGTTACGATGCAACTAACTTACAAATGGTTCAGGAGAGACAGACAGAGAGAAGGCCAGAGCAAAATGCAGCAAGATGTTAATAGTTAATGCGTTCAGGTGAAAAATTATCACAAGGTACTCACTGTACTGGCCCTCCAACACCAACAACTTTTCTATGTGCTTAAAACCTTTCAAAAGAAGGATCTGGGGGAGGAACTGATGAAGAAGGCAGAACCCCCCAGCAACAGGATAGACCATGGCTGGCTACCTTTATCCTCATGGATCGTGGAAAAACACTGCAGCGACAGAGACAGACCCGGCTCAGAGCACCGGGCTCTGGGCTCAGGGAACCCTCTGCCCTCCGCCCCTCACCTGTAGCCAGAGTCGGCAAATGCGTGGCTTGCACACACGCACACAGCCACAGCCGGCACCTGTGGCAGGCATGGGTAGTCCATCGCCGGTTCTTTGCCTGAGTGATTAGGTCTCCATCCTGTGAGCTCCGAAGGGCGGGACGTATAACCTAGATGTGTCTCGCCCGGCCCAGCCCAGGACAGGGAGGTGAGTGGACCCGCTCAGGGTCTGATGAATGAACCAATAGCTGGGAGAACGGACAAAAGCACACGGGAGACTGGGCGCCCCACAGGAAAGGTGAGGGCGTGGGTTCTGAATGCGGAACCCCACACCCCCACCCAGCGCCCTGGCACCGTGCCCAGATGCTGGCATGGCGGGAATTCCCTTCACCCCACTGGCCTCAGTTTCCCCATCTACACCCGGGACGGGAGGAGTGCACACTTCTCTGGACAGTGGGGAGGGACCAGTGGAGGCCCACACGTGCAGGGCTCTGCCCTGGCCTGTTTGGGGCAGGCCCACGAGACCACCTGCCCCAGAGCTGCTTCGGTAAAAACCCAAAGCGTGTGTTTGCACACCCGTTATCATAACAGCATCACTCACAACAGCCGAAGGGGCGAGTTGCCCCAGTGTCCACGGTCACATCACAATAGCCGAAGGGGCGAGCCGCCCCAGCATCCACGGTCACATGGATGGACAGACAAGCTGTGGGCTCTTCATGCAATGGAATACTATTCAGCTTCAAGAGGAAGGAAGTTGACACGGGCTACCACACAGATAAGCCCCGGGGACACTCTGCGGAGTGAGACAGGCCGGTCACAGAAGCACAGATATCACAGGGCCCGATTGACGTGAGGCGCCTGGAGCAGACAGAACCCTAGAGGCAGAAAGCAGAGCGGTGCTCGCCAGGAGCTGGGGGTGGGGGTGGGCTGGCCGCTGTGTCCTGGGGCTGGAGTTTCAGTCTCACAAGAGGAAAAGCGCTCAGGAGGTGCTGGCGGCGATGGCCGCACAAGCGACTGTATTTGATGCCGCAGAACTGTACACTTCACAGCGCTTAGGAGGGTAAACTTTATCTTGTGTTTATTTAACCACAGTTTAATTTGCCCAGTGCCTAGGGCAGCAAGACTTCACAGCAGTAGGGTGTTGGAGGGGTGGAGCTCTGGCTGAGACAAGGGGAGGAGGGGCTTCACCCACTAACCCCCTCTTGGGTCCCCTTTGTGGACTGGGGTCCCTCATCCACTGACCCCACCGGCTCTGCTCTGTGGGTCAGGGTCCCCCACCCTCTAGACCAGCATCTCTGCATCTCTAGACCACGGGGTGGGCTGTGGGGAGGTACAGCCATGCCCCCATGAGTCACGTCCTCGGGGCTAAGGGAAGCAGAGGAAGGAAGACGCAGGATGCTTTTCCATCAACGTGGTTAAATTTATCCCTCGCTAACCCGGCAGCATCCTGCACTGTGGCCTTGGGTCCAGCTGCAGCTTTCCCCAGCACAGCCGGGTTCCCGCTCAGGCTCCAGGGAAGCAAGGCTGCCCCGCTGGGCAGAGACGCTTCCTGGTCCTGTGAGCTGTGGCCTGGGGTCCCCTACCCCGACACGCAGGCACAAAGCAGGATATTCCGACACCCGCTGCAACATGAGGAATCTGGAGGACGCTACGCTCAGTGAAAGAAGCCGGCCACAAAAAGACAAGCTCCGAGGCTCACCTGCGCTTCTGCGTGGGCCCGACAGCCTCCGGATCCACAGGGAAAGCAGAAAGCAGAACTGAGGGTGCCAAGGGTGGGGGGACAGGAGGGGTGGAGGGCAGGCGATGAGGAGTGACTTCGTGGGGACCGTTAGCTGAGAAAGAAGGAAAAGGGCCAGAGATGGAGGGTGGTAAAGGTCTCACAGCAACAGGCGATGTACATAAAAACAGCTAACGTGACGTACTTTAGATTACATGTCTTTTACAATATGAGACACGTTCACGCAGAAAACACCGTACTTAATGCTGGAGAAAGAACCTGGCCAAACAAACCAGAGAAACCCACAGAGCTGCCGGCAGCCGCTGAGAAGGACTGTTCGAGAGCACGTCCTACTCGGGGGTGCTGCCTGGGTGGCGTCGGGACGGGCGCGCAGGACGCAGCCCGAGGCTTCGTGGGCGGGGTCCATGCAGAGTGGAGAGCCAAAGTGGCCAGGGAGGGGGTCACAGACTGCTCCCTCTTCAATCCCCCGTTCTTGCAAAAATGAACGTCTGTCTGGTTTATTGCACGATTAATGATAATAAAACAGACTCCAAGAAACTCAAGTGAGAGTGAAACCCCTAAAACAGGTCAGGTCCCCCTATTTGGGACTTCCCAGGTGATGCCAGCAGTCAAGAATCCTCCTGTCAATGCTGGAGGCACAAGAGATGCGGGTTTGATCCCTGGGTCATGAAGATCCCCTGGAGAAGGGGATCCCAACCCACTCCCAGTATTCCTGCTTGGGACATCCCATGGACAGAGGAGCCTGGTGGGCTATAGTCCATGGGGTCACAAAGAGTCAGACACGACTGAGCCCACATGCACCCTGTTTAAGATCCCTGGTAGCAGAGGATGGCACCCAGAAATATGTGGGATGAAGGCAAAAGCCAGTGGTCATTCAAAAGAGAGATGCCTGGGGTCCAGCCTGCCGGTTTGGAGGGTCAGCTGCGAGGAACTCTGGAGGACGAGCAGGCTCTGAATCAGAGCCCAGGAGACTTGGGTGTGTGAGCAGGGTCTTCTCAAGCCTCTTTTCTCATTAAATCGACGGCATTTGTCAGAATGGCTGCTATCAAAAAGTCTACAAACAATAAATGCTGGAGAGGGTGTGGAGAAAAGGGAACCCTCTTACACTGTTGGTGGAAATGCAAACTAGTACAGCCAATATGGAGAACAGTGTGGAGATTCCTTAAAAAACTGGAAATAGAACTGCCATATGACCCAGCAATACCACATCTGGGCATACACACTGAGGAAGCCAGAACTGAAAGAGACACGTCTACCTCAATGTTTATCACAGCACTGTTTACAATAGCCAGGATATGGAAGTAATCTAGATGTCCATTAGCAGATGAATGGATAAGAAAGCTGTGGTACATATACACAATGGAATATTACTCAGCCATTAAAAATAATGCATTTGAATCAGTTCTAATGAGGTGGATGAAACTGGAGCTATTATACAGAGTGAAGTAAGTCAGAAAGAAAAACACCAATACAGTATATTAACGCATATATATGGAATTTAGAAAGATGGTAACGATGACCCTATATGAGAGACAGCAAAAGAGACACAGATGTAAAGAACAGACTTTTGGACTCTGCAGGAGAAGGTGAGGGTGGGATGATTTGAGAGAATAGCATTGAAACGTATTTATTACCGTATGTGAAATGGATGCATTTCACAGTCCAAGTTCAATGCACAGTCCAAGTTCGATGCATGAAACAGGGCACTCAAAGCCAGTGCACTGGGACAACCCAGAGGGATGAGATGGGGAGGGAGGTGGGAGAGGGGTTCGGGACAGGGTTCTAGTATCCATGGCTGATTCAAGTCAATGTATGGCAAAAACCACCACAATATTGTAAAGTAATTAGCCTGCAATTAAAATAAATAAATATTTGTTTTAGAAAAAGAAATCAACCTGAGGAAACCACATTCAAAGAGAAGTGGGTGCATCCAGTCTCTGGAATGATGGTGCTTAAACAAACCAACTAAAAAACAAACAAACAAACAAACAAACAAACCATCCTGCATTTTCTGCTCTTGATCAGATGGCATGTTCTAGTTGAAAAAGCAGACATAATATTTAAGTTCATTCACTAAATCCTGCTAGGTGCCAGGATGAAAGCAATTAAGTGGTGAAATGGGAGCATTGAAGAGGAAGTATTCTCTGTGGCATGTGCATAGATGTGTGTGTGTATGTGTGTAGTGGTGCAATTGGTCAGAGAGTCTCAGAGACATTGTGCAGTGCTGGTGTTTGAGCTAATCTGTTTTGATGAACTGGGATCCCAGGGAGAGAAGAGGAAGAAGGACATCCTGGCAACCTTTCCCCATGAATACACTGTCCTCTGCCCTAGCAGTATCTTTCTCCAAAATCACATGCAAACTCTGTATGGCATAGGAAGCTCTTTAAAATATGGTCCCAGGCTGCCGATGGGACATATTTGGTCCATACGCTTTGCCTCCCCAAACTTCTTTTAGTACTTCCACAACATGCTTTTCCACAGTTCCTTTCCTTTGCATGTACTACTTTTGTCACCTAAATGCTCAGCTTGGCAAGGTGACCCTTGTCCATCTAGTACCCAGAGCAAAAAATGGCACCTTGGCAACAACCCCCAGGTCTCTTTCTCTCTGGAGCTGCTGCTGCCTCTTCCTGGTGTGGATGTGCTCTGGCAAGCTCAGTGGGCAGGGACCATCCCTCTCTTCTGATTGACCTCATGGGTATAATCCTGCTGCCCAGGTCTCTTCCATGGACAGATAGCTCCTAAGTCAGACAGGCTGGGACCTGGGACCTTTTGCTGCAGTGCTGCAATGCTTGCACCTGGACAAATGTCTCCCCAAGCAACAAAATACAAAGAAACTAAAAATAACTGTATGCCTGTGCAGTTGGGGCAAATTCTGGACAAAAAGATACAAAGAAACCAAAAAGCTTAATTTTCACTTTTGAAGAGCTGGGAGAAAAAAACAGGATACCACATGCCCCCTGCACACAATACCACCAAAGAGGTGGGCAAATCACCTAAGCCACTCCTCTGGCCTGATCCCTAGACACCCCTACGCTCACCCCATATAATGGGAACAAGGTGGGAACAAGGTTGCCCCACCTTGGTGAGTGAGGAAGCAAAGGAACCTGTTCTTTCCCCCTCCTATTACAGTAGGGGCATCAATAAAACTTTTCCTGAATTTGTCTGGCTTCTAGTCAATTTTTATTTATTAAGGAGTCCAAGAACCCTGGTCAGTAACTTACATATACACTCATTTCCACCTATAGAAATGTTGAACCCTTTTGTTTTCAGCCTTCCAATGCCAACCACTGTGGGGAAAAGGAGTACTGAGGTATGATGAAATTTTCCTCTGGTCTCATCACGGGTAGGCAGACTAGAATTTTCTGTTAAGATTACCCCAAATCTAAGGCCTATACTTTGTTGATCTCTTTATCAAAATTGCTTTTGGATAATTAAGAGAAAAGTTGGCCCTCATTACAAAAATCTTTTAAAAGCTTATGCCTTTCAATCTCAAATCTTGCCCATGAAACCTTTCTGCAGTGAATACAAACCTTTTGACTAAGACCTGTTTGTTGCCCCATCCACTTCAGCCTTCATTTGAGGTGCCTCATTATATCTTCCTCTACAGCATTATTCCTTGGCTGAATCAGAATTACAGCAAAATAAATTAATTATTATGGAGTTGATATGATGGGCCTAGAAGAAGGAGGCTGGAATGAAGCCTTTTGAAGGACTATTATTCCCCATTGTAATAGGTTTTATTGCTATTAAGAATTAGCACACAATGGTTTCTACAACTGGATGAACTACATAAATGCTAATGTCAACATCAGACATCATTTAGAAGAGATATGGAGAAGCATTTTCTGTTTGTAAATGTCAAAACCATTTCTCATCCATCAGGTAATAATTTTTCAATTTTCTTCTCACAAATATAGTATATTGTCAGTGCTACTTAAGTCATAATTGATTTCACAGCTATGAAACCATGGGAAGCCAAAGGACCTTCATTATAAGATAGAAATTGAAAATCTGAATAAGATACCATTTCCCTCAGGAACCACAAGATCAATACACGACTGCAGCAGACGGAGCTGAACCTTGCATTTACTACATAATCTTGGCTTTGGAAGAGTGCCAGATGGCAGTGAAGTAGGTCTTAAGTGACCATCAAGGGCTCAAATGTGTTGCTTAGTAAAAAAAAAAAAAACATGGTGCTTTCAATTAAATGTCAAAGACAATTACATGGGAACCATCAGAGAACTTCAGAAGTAAGACAGAAAGATTACATTTCACTCACCTAACACTCCCATTACCAAACTTCCCATCTTTCGGCATTTTGGCAGAAACTTAGTTGCTCCAGGAAAGCATGACGTTCTACATTCATGGAAAGGCACAATCAAAGGGCTTTGGAGTAAATGTCAGTTTCCAAATAATATGTGGGCGATTTAAGGTCATGGAAATGTGAAATGGCAAGACTCTTCTTTTGATCTCTCAGCAAACACCTAGAACTCTTGAAATTCTTGAACCTGGCCATCATTCTTATGGTAAAAATAAAATATACCAACAACCATGTCCCTTTACTGCAGAACTGATGAATCTTTTCTAGTGTTTTTTCAGTGGCTCTGTTTTTACCCTTTCCCCCAGTCCCAACAATCATCAATTATTGGTGAAATGCCTCCAAGCTATGACAAACTCAGGCTTCAGTCTTCAGCCACCAGGCTGGGGTCTCCTGGTAGTTTGGAGAGCTGTTAGCCCTCTGAATTCGTTCTAGAAGTATTGGACTACAGCCAACATAATCTGTGTTTATAGTTAGACCAGCTAAGGAGATTTTATTTATGTGCAGCCCAGAGGTTGGTCCACCACCTTCAGAGAAACTAAGAAGTAGGTTCCTACCATGACCAGTCCAGGACAAACTTAAGAAGAAAGGCAAGTCTGTGTTTGGCATTCCTTTGTCCATCCTTTAGGGGCTCCCATCTTTTCTGTATCCTAGGCCTAGTTACCTGCTGCTGCTGCTGCTGCTAAGTCGCTTCAGTCGTGTGCGACTCTGTGTGACCCCACAGACAGCAGCCCACCAGGCTCCCCCGTCCCTGGGATTCTCTAGGCAAGAACACT